TTATCCACTGTATTGCAGCAGGTGAGAATGCTTTGTTCTGTCTGTGTCTTCTTACATCTCTTACATAGTGAGAGATGCTATAAAGTGATGTTGAGGGTTTCCACATTTCCCAAGCAAAATTCTCAAACGCAGAATGTTTTCCTGGAAATATCAGCCCTGAAAAATCATACCTTTTGGCCACTATCAATAATCACTGCAGAAAATTATTTTATAATCACAGCTAGCCCTGTGTTATGAAGGGGGTGATGAGTGTGAAGTAAAAAAAAAGATCTTTTGAAGGTCAGGGTTGACAACTGCCATTGATAGTTGGGCATTGATGTCTCTGTTCCTCCCACACTGTGACATGGCCAGTGTCCCAGATCTTGCTTGCCTGTGAAGGAGATGGACTTTTGGTGGACTTTTCAGGGCCTTCTCAAATCTGTACAATGGACTCCCACAGGGTGGGGGGATGAGGGAGGCAGGTTTGGGTTTTGGGTTTGTTTTCATCAAGTTTTGGATTTGGTCAGATTACTCTGAAAAGATGAATCGACCAGTGGCAAAGCAAAACTCATCTTCTCCCCAGCCCCCCTCAACTCCCTAAAAAAAAAAATGAGGCATATTGACTGCAAAGTGGGTATGTGGCTCCAAGTGTTATCAAGGACTACGAGTTTTCAAGGATGTAGTCAATACTGCCAGGGCTGCTAGTGATGCAGTTTTTCTAACTCTACTTCTTTCTTGATCTAACTGTTGATGTCAACTGTTCTCTATTGAATTGCAAGTCACTGCCTCCCATGCCAGTTTAACAATGGCACAACATCACAGTGACAAAAAAGAGAAAATGCTAACGGCTGAGTACAATGTGGAGAAAAAATCAGTGCAAGTGATAGAGAACTTAACTACTTTAAGAGCATTAAAAATAAAACCAGTAATGTTCATACAAAGGAAGCTTGATGTGGAAATGTCATAGGCTGCTGAGATGCATACAAGGACTTGATGCTCACCTGCTTTCAGCAGTTTGGACGTTTACTTAAGTTTTATCATCCTGCTTTCTTTCCGTTACTCATCATCCTTTGTGCAAGGATGCAAATACTGTTCTATAAAGCACCTTCCAGTGTAGCATCCTTAAGTAAAACAACAAAGGAAATATTGGCATCAGCAGGGAGAAGAGACAGCAGAAGGGAAGGGAAATGGCTAACAGTCAGCAGGAGCTATCTTAGACCACTGAAACACAATCTTTAGCAAAACAGGAATCATTTCTGTCTGTCCAACCACACATAGAAATTACAGTAACGCAGATTTACAAGACGCTGTTTGTTATAGTCAATGCACACATCTATGTATATGTGCTTGCATACACACTTCTAGTATTTCGTTGGTTTTAAAACTCTCCCACAAAGTACTTGGGGAAATGGAGCATTTCCTTTTGACCGTCTTTAACGTATTTGTGAGTATGGGCATTAATTATAAAAAGGATAAGTGCATGTTTTCCTCATTCCATTAAACTCCTAGTCTCAAATTCAGTAAAAAATTAGATTCTCATAACCAGTAGAAACATTCAAATTTGGATCAACTACATCAATTTAATCTGGGAGGGGTAGTGTTAATCCAGAAGCTGGGTAGCACAGTTGAAATCAGAATGCACCCCAGTGTTTCAAGAAGAATGGTTGTGCTTACCTTTTCCCTGATAGATATCTGTAATAGAGATTACTTTCTGCATCTATCACATGCATATTAGTTCTTTGACTTGCTTGACAAGACAGATGGGAGAGACTTCATCATGGCATGATAGCTGTCTCTTTGAATCACTTATAGATGTTAACAATGACCTTTCCTGCAAGGGCAAGATAAATTAGACAGCCAAGAGGTCTTTATAGCAATTTGAAATGTCCACCTACCGGGATAATCTTGGGGGGGGGTGTGTCTGTGAATTTTAGGTGATTTTTATAGGACCTCATAAATACTGAGTTTGACGTGCATGGGTGGGGGAGAGGATTGTGAAGCACTAAAACTCCAGGACACTTTTTTTTTTTCCTTACCCATGTTAAGTACTTCTATCTAGCGTACCCCCACTAGGTTTTCAAACTGGCCATTTTGGAACATGAGCTGTTTTAACAGCTTTTGACAGTTGCTCAAAAAAGAGGTAAAAACATATGCAAAGCTATTAATTGAGTATCCAATTTTAACAATTCGAGAATGCTTGAACTCCCCACATGTTGATTTTATGTCTCCCTTAGGCAGACATTAATCTCATCCTACTTCTCTGTAAAACACAGGCCAGAGCAAAGCTGAGTTCTAAATATCCTTTAACAGAAAACTCACACAAAGTTTAGATTTAAATACATTGAAATATTGCTTGTGCTCTTAAGTTTTGGAAGATCTACTCTTGAGATATACTTGAAGGAAAATCACTTTTGCTTACCATGTGTTTCTTTATGGCGTTTAAACTCTCGTGCTGTATCCTTGTTACACTATAAAAGCAGATGTTTCACAAGCTTAAAGAAAAGCTTTAACGTTGTGAATCCTGTCAGGAGTCTAGATACCTGCAGGCTATGATTGAAATACATTCAGTGAGGCACACATTTTAAGAACGTTCATCTCCTTGTGAAGTGTTTAATGGGAAGCAGATATTTGGTTTTTAAAGTCAAACAGCATCTGCCATTAAGAACTCTGCCTCAAAATTCTAGAAGAGCTAAAAATCACATTTCTGCATCACGGGAGTTTTAGACTGGACATTAGGAAGCATTTCTTCCTTGAGAGGATGGTCAAACACCAGAGCAAGCTTCCTAGAGAGGTGGTTGATGCCCCAAGTGTGTCAGTGTTTGAGGCATTTGGACATTGCCCTTAATAACATGCTTTTGGTCAGGCAGTTGGACTAGATGATCATTGTAGGTCCCTTCCAACTGAAATAGTCTATCCTATTTTATCCTATTCTATCTTCTATGAACTTTCTACCTCATTGAAATTTTCTTCCCCTATCCATTACCTGTTGAGAAGGTAGGGTATTACACTCAAAATCTTGATTTCATAAAACTTCCTATCACAGAGTACTTTACCGGGAAAGCAAAAACCAAAAGAACTGTTTTGTAGTAATTGGTCTATAACAAATGCCAATATGGTTTCTCATGTTCTGATATAAGAACACCTTTTCCTAATTTAATTTAATCTTTTCTGGAAATCCATCAGTAACTACAAAGGATAATAAAACATTTAAGAAATAATGAACACTAAAGTGAGGCTACAATTCTTGAAATGGAGAACATGCATCAGTGAAGATGATGAAGAAAATGTAGTGTCTGACCTTTATCTTTTTTTGTTCACTACTCATAGAATAGAATAAGAATTAGGTACTTGTAAAAGCAAATAATAAAGCAAAGTAACATTGATTTCCTCTTCTATCCTATAAAATTATTGATCTGTTTTTAACCTAATTGGGACTTGTGAAAATAAATGGAAAAAACAGTAGGCTATTTATGGGGTTCAAGTATTTGTTCTCAGGAAGAGTTGTAGGCCTGCATATTCGGGACTCTGTTGGCTGTGCTAACAAGCTAAAGATCAGAGTGCTGTAGCTTATTGTATTTGCTTTGTTCTCCTTCTCTTTAATCTCATGTATCTAATTATTTCTTGTAATTTGGAGAAGTAACAGTGCTAAAGATGCCTTAATGTATTGATACACAACAGTTGAGCACACACTGCTAAAAAAGTAGTTTTTCAGTAAAAGTCTTATCTAACATAAAAATGAACAGCTAATTAAATGGAAGAGATAATAAAATAGGTTTTCCAGTTAAGCCCACTATAATTTCTGTGAAGCAGAGGAACGTTATTTCTGCTATATTCTGCCTAGGATACCAGCCAACATATTGATTAATACAATGTTTACATAACACCCAGACATTTTGAATCAGTTATACTTTCCTGTACTGTAGAATCTACTATATGGAATCCAAGGACTGTCTGTTTCATCAGTTTTGATTCTCAAACACTTTGTTTGTGGGAAAATGTACACACGGATGGGCCCCTAATTCACATGCATAAGTATTTGCAGGTTTGAGGACTGAATTAAATTTAGGTCTAGACATGCTACACTTTCTTGTAGGCAAAGCAGCACTAAAGGTATTGCACATAAATTCAGTGACAGTATTTGTATTGGTTTCAACAAGCTTTGGCTCATTCTCCGTAGTACAGTTTGGATGTCGATTTTGATGCTTGAAGGTACAGCAGGTGAAATTTTATTGCCATCAGAGAAGTTGTCATGAAGCCTAAAACTCTGCAAGAATCATCAGAATCAGGACGTTAATTACAAATTACAAATCAGGAACACTGATAAAAAGGCTTACAGTTGTTTAAAAACAAAAAACATGGATAAAACTGCATGCTTTTCCTTGGTATTTGATATAATTTATTTAATCAATATTAAAGAAGAGGTAAATTGAAATTTTAAAAAAACTAGGATACAAGTGTTCACACACTTACAGCTCGACTTTTGTTTTTTGGGGCTATCATATAATTCATTGCAGACATCTTTGTAAAATGCTGTCCTCATAGGGCTGCTGAAGATTGCTCTCCCATGTTTGCGGCTGCAACGCGATAGCTCCTGTGGATATGGAGACAGATGATTCCACATGTGTTTGCCAGTAACCAAAAAGGAAGATTGTGTTTTAAAACCTGTTTAAAACACTATTGCAAATAATAGCCTGATGTAGCTCACTTAGATTTTAAAGCTGGATATGTGTGTGCTCCTTTGGGGTAAGATTTGAACCATCCTTCCAGTAGAAATTGTGTTGTAGAAGAATTGAATGTGCAGGTTATTTCATGCTGTAGCAGTGTGCATATGTAGAAAAGGGAGGGAGAAAAAGTAGTTTCCGATTTCATTACACAGTTCTTGTGTCTGTTCACAGCAGTTAGCCAGATATATTGTTTTAGCATGGCTAAAGCTTCAGCTGTTAGCAAGGTGATTTTACACGTTACCCCTCTGTGCTAATTTAATGCCATTTTTTTCTCTGTCTGCTCTTGTAACGAAACAGAAGTACTCTGCTGTCTCTCTCTGCAACATATCTACAGAAGTCCTGAAAGTCATCAATGCCACTGAAGAACTGATAGCAGAATCCACCGGTCCCTGTGATTTCCCAGCTGACATTCAGGACAGAGGAAGAGGGACCTTCCCACTGGGGACAGACCCCATCAGACTTGACGAGCAGCTAACCACACTGGAAGAAAATGTAAGAACATGAATCAGTATGTGAAAGAGTCACATATGTGAATGAGTGTACCTGTGTGTCTGTGCCAGCTGGAAAGGGAAAGCACGTAGGCAGCATCAGTGGATGTTCAGAATTAATTTGGGGTTATTAAACAAATAGAGAACAAAAAATCCTATTTCAAAGGGGTGTTCAGCTGTGGTTTTGTTTTGTTTTGTTTTGTTTTTTTTAATGTGTACTTTAAAATATTTGGGGGAGGGGGAGAGTTGGATGTTTTGAGATTTACAACTAATTTTAGAATCTTTATCTCAAAAGTTAACTTAAGCCCTCCGAACCTCTGTGGCTGTGTGGCTGAGCGATGCCTGGCTGAAACCACACGTCTCTGTGTCCCAGCACAGCCTCGTTACTGTTAGGGCAGGCAGGGAAAGCATGTCCCCTGTCACACAGAGGAGAAGTGGAGGAGCTCTTCCTCCACCCACACATCCCCAGCACACTGCACTGAGCACCCAGGGAGCAGGAGCTGCCTGATGCACTGTGGAAAAAGAGCAGGCTGGAGAAGCTGAATTAAATAAACATTTTTATGGCCACAACCAAATCACCTGTCCTTTTTCATGAGTACCTGACATCTTCAGGAGAAAGTGCAGTGCTGAATCATAGAGGGAAGTCACTACTCATTGGAAATTTTTATGCATCCACTTAATGGAGTCGGTATACTTGTAACTTTCGATTTTTCTCTTCTTCCCACATTTAATTGATTACATTTCAGTGATTTTTTCCCCTTCATTAGGAGCTCTTAAAGATCTCATAGGAATCTGAGCTGTCGCATTATAACATCCTGACCAAGTCAAGAAAATAGATCCTGGTTTTCTTTAGCCCCGGAAAATTTTCAGACAGACTCTCTTCTTGGGGGATAAAATCAGTCTACTCCACAGAAATGCACTTCCACAACAGCCCCCAGGTTGGGGACTGCGTGGGAGATAACCCATGGCAATAACGACCAGTCCTGGAACTGGGCCCATCCTCCTCCAAAGCCCTCCCACCAATTGGGAAGTTGTGACTTCCCGATCCCTCTCACCACACCTCTTCTGAGCTGAAATCTCCCATCCCTGCTTCAGTTCAGGGGTTCCCAAACTAGATCCTACACCTCCTAACCTCATCTCCTCCAAAACCTCTTCCACCCCAGCAGGATGCCCTCCAACCCATTCCAGAGCACCTTCGCTCTTCCCCAACCGGCTCCCAATCATAACCTGACCTCCAGACTTCTCCTCCTCGCCTCCGATCGGCCTTCGCCAGCATCCCGCCGTGCCAGCCGAGGTTCTCCTCCTCCTCCTCCTCACTCCCACACGCTGTCCTGGTTGCCGGCATCTCCTGCCCTCCATCCCGGGGCACCAACAGCCACCCGAACCCGCCCCGCCACGGGGTTTTCCACACAGCAGCCCTGCTCCGGGCTCCTCTCTGGAAAAGGAATTCAAAACAAAGAAGCAAAATAGGCTTGGGAGTCCTCCCGAGCGGGGCTGGGAGAGCAGGAGAGGAGGATGTGTCCAGGAGATGCTGGACTAGTGGCAGCTCAGATATGGCCCTCTGCAGAATGGTAAAGGCTCCCCACAGCAGCTGCTGCTCTAGTGCCTGGAGAGGGGGATAACTTGAGCTTGTGGCAAGTGAAGTGCTTCCTCATGCCACCTGCCGTGATAGCCATTTCATTCTTACACAGCAGATGCACCCCCACAGCAGCTTCTAGCTGAGTTTGGTTAACTTTTTTTCAGTATAGTAAAAGTAGAGAGAAGTAGATCGAATAGAAGTAGATGGAGATTTTCTCCCGGTGAAATACTAAAGCATCCTAGCTCCAAACACCACAGAATGCATCTGGCAGATGAGTGAATACAGAATGAAAATCCAAGTCCAGGCTGGACCACATCTTTAGAAAAACTAAGAAATTCCACAGAACAGAGAGAAATTTGGGGAGAGTTGCTCCCGTGTTATTTTGCTGTGGAGAACTGTGTTGTAAACTATCTGCAGCTCATTTTTTCCCGTTACACATCCTTCCCATTCTTATGGAGCTTTGGCACCTGTGGTGCCATGGCCCCTAGTCATTCGTTCTGGATGAGCATTTCTCACTGAGCAGACTGGGCACTGAGGCAGAGCATTTCTTGCTGCGGCGTTGCCCTCCGCAGCAGATCTCTGGTTTAGCTTCTCTCAGTTTCCTGCATAATTCATAAGGTGTCCAGCTCAGCCTTGCTACATCCCCCCACTACATCTTTCTCCGCCCCACACAAGATATGAAGTAGATGGCAAAACTTCATGGTTTTGAGATTTCACCACCACACTCAGTAGTATGGTTAAAGATCCTTTAGAAATCCAGGAATCCATATCTTTTCCCAGTGCAGCTGGGGGCATATCTACCTGCAGCATATCCTCTTTGCAGCAAATTTTGGAAGAGGATCTGGGTGTTTATAGAGACTTTGTTAGTTTTTGCTCTCTCTAGAGTTTCAGGGCCTTGCATGCATCAGTGTTGCGCCACCTGTATCAGCACAAGGTCGGGTGGGTTTTAGTGGAAGCTGTACATACATAAATGATGGTAAAATAAGTGTCTGTGACCTGAATGCAAATGTGTGAGTATGCATAAGGGCATAATTTAGTGGAGACCTTCAGGTGCACCATTGCTGTTTGGAAGCACAGGGATTGTTGATGTAAAGAGAACATTCTTTAGAAAAATCTTTTCATTAGATCTAGCTGGAAAATATTCAATAAAATTAAAATTTGTAGGGGCTGATTGAGTTACAGAAACATTGATGACCTTCCCTTCCCACATTTTTCTGTCGGTCCTATTTTCTTTAGATTTTTTTTTCCCCCTCTTGAAAAGTACAATTTACTGTGCAGAGAATTTTGGCACAGCATTTAATTGCATCTTTTCTTTAACTTTCTAAAGATGTGTCTATTCATAATGTTCCTTTTTCTTCTTTCTCTGAGCTTTTATTCCTGATAGGGAAATTTTCAAAAATCACCTTTTAACATGAAGTGTCTGTGATATGTTGCTCCACAAAGATGTATCATTTAAATATACAGAAAGAATAATTAAAATCCACAAAAGCTGGATCATTTCTATTTAAATCAACATGTAAACTTTATGGCCCACCTGTCTCTCCAAGTACTTCAGGAAAGATGTTAAATCAGATTACTTATTTGTTCTAGGTACATTTTTCAAATATTTAATGCCTGCAGTTAGACTGTGGTCTTACAAGATGCAGTTCATACAAGATGTAGTGAATTTGTTTCTTAGTGGTGTCACATACGTGAAAAAAAAATATATCTTCATTTATGCCTTGAACAACCAATGCAAAGGAAAAAAAAACTATTACAAGCAATTAAGAAACAATGATAAAATAAAAAAATAAAAAAGTAAACATTTACTTAAATATTAATCTAGTCATTCTCCACCACTTTTGATCCATAAAGTCACAGCATGGCCAGAAATTATTTGAATACGTGTTATGTCAAAGGACTGCACAATCTAGGAATTGTGGGCAGATATAATGACTTGAGTGGAAAACATGTATGAAGTGAAGGTATCTGCTCAAGGATCTGGTTCAGATCCTGTTTGCTTGCCCCTTGAACCATGAAGTCAGCTACAGAACATGTTTAATTTATGCTAGTTTTGTAGCACCACAGTCTTTACTGCTGTTAGAGTGAGTGAGGCTGCCAGTGGGGAAAATCAAAACATATATTTAATTTCCACTGTGCTGTTACCAGCTTCATGGAAACAGTCCCTTGGCTAGCTAGTAAATAGGCAGAAGCTGCGCTATTTTCATATGGGTCTGCACAATTTTAAGCACAGATGTCAAAAACTAATGCTTCAAAATTACCCTTTTCTATAAAGAAAGACCTCGATCCATGTACCATATCCACATACCTTAGATTTCTTTGTGAAATAAAAGAAACACGTAAAACACAGCGTATCATGAATTACTGCTCCAAGGAGCTGAATGGGAAATGAAATCTTTACCTACAGTTATCAGAGGTATTGTAGGTGGGTCAAAATGTTAAAAGCTTGTTTTTACGGAAGATTTCTAAGTTACATATTCTGTTATGTGGCCCAGATAAGTCTATTGACCCTCCACAGATTCACTGCAAAGGGCCAGGAGGCAGGAAAGTTTTGGCTGCTATAATATTGGGGTGAGAGCAGGATGGGATGGAAAACTGTGATGCACATGTAAGCATAGTTACTCTTTAAGAAGTTAATAACTATATGCTGCTGAACAGTTATTCTTACAGACTGTTGCTTGCCAGAAGGTATTCAGTAAACACAGCTTTATGTAAGGTGTGATCTGTTGACTTACCCTTGTAGACCTGGGGGTTTTGTTAAGCAGTTCAATATCAAAAATAAAAAAGCAAACTTCTCAACTTTTTTTTTTTTTTTTTTTTTTCTGGTGAATCTGGAAAAAATCTGGTTTGGAATACCATTGTAGCACCTATGAAATTTGGAGTGCAGCCAACTCATGCCTCCCTTCTCTTTGTGGATGTGTGTTTTCAGATTATTCCCCCCATGACTTTCCTCTCCCAGGTCAGTCTCCCTGTAGTGGGTTAGCAAGGAGGGAAGCTCAGAGCTATCGTGGAAGATGCAGTCTGCCCGAAACTCCCTGCCCACGAAAGAGAAGTCGCTGACCTCTCTCCCTGCCTTGGCCCTGCAGGTGTACCTGACAGCCAGCACGGTGTACGGGCTGGAGGGGCAGCTGACCACCCTGGAAGATGCCGCGCGCAAGATCAACAGCGTTACTGCAGAATCTGAGCTGGCCGATCTGGAGGATCAGGTAGCCACAGCAGCTGCCCAGGTTCATCACGCGGAGCTTCAGGTGAGGACAGCAGCTCCTCCCTATCTGCAGCTTTCACACTGCCTTGCCAAGCACTTACCTGTTGTCTGCACACACCTACCTTTAATATTCTTTTGTACCGCAGTAGACTGATGATCCGAGGATTTTGACTGCATCACAGGAACTGAGCAAAGCGTAACTGAGATGCGTAACTCAGCCCAGCCAGATGTATTGTATTTGTTTCTTCCCCCAGCTTGTTTTTGGACATTGGAGTGCCACAGCCTGCTGCTGCAGAACTAACACTGAACCTGTTCCTTGCTGCCAGGCTGCTCACGTGGTGCGCTCTGCCTCGCACGCGTGGCTGTGGTCAGGCTGCAGACGTTAGATAAACGCCGTTTATCTGTATCAGATAATTGGAAAGTATTTCCCAAAAGAAGCCAGCGTTGGTAATGTTCTACCAAAAAAGGCCAACAGCAGCCACTGAGCCAAGCACAGAGCCTAGCACTTGCAAAGCTGCCTTGGGATTTAGCCGCTAAGCAGCGCGCATCCCAGCCAAAAGGCAATTGCTCTTGTGGGCTGCAATCTAGCATCTTTCTAGTGGGCTCCGGAAAGTCTGGGGCTCAGAAGAACACCATGATCTGGTGCTAAAAGCTGAACGAAGTCATGCTGCCAGATCTGAGAGTCTGACCTCTGTCTGAGGTCAGAAGTGCCTTGCTGCACTAGGTGACGAACTGGCAGCAACGTTTTGTTGGTTTCGGTCATTATTTTACAGTAAATATGTTAATGGGGGTGAGAGGCGAAGAGGAGAGAGGCCGGAGCTATGCAAGGAGGATGACAAAGAGGCCAACCAAAGGTCTTCTGCAGAGTGAACAGCTTCAGGTGTCATTGTGAATTGGGAGTCGGGTTCTATGTCTGACTTCTCTGACACTTCTTTCCCTTTTGGCAACATTTTTTTCCACTAGTCTCAACACCAGCCTACTTTGCCCCCAGATGTTTGCTTTCATGGACTTCTGTTTTTCCTAGCAATTTGTTTTCCATTGAGTGTTTTTATATAATGTGTACCTGCATTTATGCATGTTTGTGTTTAACATACATATGCACTTAAATTATAAATATTTAAGATCAAATGTTTAGATTTCGTGATGGAGGATGTACTCTGCGTGTGCATGAAATTGATTTTGAATTAGGAAGTGTGTCCCACAAAGTCATTCTCTGAATGTAGCCTTTGAAAAACACAGCTTGAAAGAACTTGGGATTATGCATCTAAAGGTAACTGGGGAGATGGTAGGTGCAGGTTTTCTCCCCTCCTTTCTTTTTTTCCTCTAAAGGAGTAAAATGCCTCTTCCTTACAGTCACAAGGTAGGTTGTATTGTTCTTTTACTCCATCTTTAATAACAAATTAAGCCCCTTTTAACATCAGGTCTAAAGAATACAGGAAAGTGTCAGAACTGCTGAAGAAGTTAGCCATCTGTCTATATTTTTTGATTAAAGAGGATTTGACTGGGGGAGGGATATATTTTAGTAGTGGCATCCACAGTAATTTTTAAACTTCTTTTTCCCCCTCCCCATCTGTCTGTCTCTCTTTATTTTCTTTGAAGATTTCAGATATTGAGAGCAGAATATCAGCTCTCACTGTTGCAGGCTTGAACGTGGCTCCATGTGTTCGCCTGACAAGGAAACGGGATCAAAAGCAAAGAAACCAGGTGCCAGAACATTATGTAGTATTCAAAAATACATTGGGGAAATCTTGCCTCTTTTTCTGTAATGGACTTGAGTAATGCATATATGTTCTTTACAGATGCATACAATAGACACATCAAGACAGCAGAGGAGAAAACTTCCAGCTCCACCAATAAAAGGTGAACTTAAGTTGTTACATACATTATAGAGATTCTCTCTTTATAAAGCTCAATATGATGTACAGTTCAGCAAAGTAGGGGAAAGATTAAGTTACAGAATGAACAGAGAAGGCCTAAATATGGCCATCCTCCTCATTTCCCATTGTACTTGCATTAAATAAAATACCCATTTGTCATGTTAAAAAGCCTCACCACTTTCTCTTCAGTGGAAGCTGTGACAGTGGGAAATTAATAGGAGACAAAGGAGGAGGCTGGGAAAAGCAAAGGATGATGCTGCTGCAGCGTGCCTGGGGTTAGTTTCTGAGGCCCAAGCAGTCACACTGTTTAATTACCAAAAGCTAGTTGCCACCCTCCAGAACCCACTGTTGCTTTCTTAAAGCCTATGTATGCTGATTTCAGTCCATATGATGTGGCTCAGCAATGTTCTTGGTATGTTAAGGTATGGCTGTGAATTGGCTTTATAAAATAAAATGCTTTTCTCCTTCATGTTTTCTCTCTTTTTTTAACCCTGCAGTGCATTATTTCTGACAATTCTAGGGCCTGCTTCACCCTGCATTAATCTTGATTTACTCTTGTATAATTCCACTGATTGACATGGCCTCAAACTTTAATAAATTTGCAATATCACAGCCTGCTGGGATTCATTTAAATTAAATCCAGCTTTACTTATACAACTTAGGGGAAGTTTTATCTCACTAGAAGCTGTGACTCTCCAGGAATATTGTTACATTTGCTTCAATCTGTTATGTGAAAAATCTCCCTTTCTGTATTTTTCCCAGGTGAAAAAATAGATGGTTCTCCAGTTACCACTGTCAGAACATTTAACAGAAACTTCATGCTTCAAGGATCTCTAACACAAAGAACTAAAGAGAGGAAAAGCACTGCCAAGGACTTAATGGTAAACTCATAACAAATGTTTTTAAAACTGCTGTTAAAAGTAGTAAATAGAGAGATAAGGGTATCTGTGTAGGCAGCTGGATTTCAGCATCTTCACAAAACTTCTCTTAATAGTTTGAGGAAGAAGAATAGAGACTGCTGAGGCACCTCTGAATAAATATAACCAGGAAGATGTCTGACTATATGCCATAGTGTAGCAGCTCCTGAATGTCAGCCTGTGTACCTGGCTGCCAGGTCTCCAGGAATGTGCTGCCCTTATTTTTTGAAAAATAAATAAGCTAGTGGTCCCCTGCCATTCAGACTTCTGAGCCAGACCCTCACAGAACCAGCTGCACTCAGTAACTCCAGTGAGAGTCACCTTGAATCTCACTCACTTTTGAGAAATGTTCAAAGGTCACCTAAGTGGCATTTAAGGGGTAGATAGCCCACGCACTGGCTCTGCAGGGTTTGAACAAATAGGCTTCACTGGAGAGCTGACAATCATTTCTTCTACAGCAGCCATAGAAGGATAAGGAAAAAAAGCAGCCTGTCCCAAAGCAGTCTGCCAGTAGATATGTGGAAAATAGGTGGGAGGGTAAAAAGGGGAAGGACCTGGCTCCCTAGAAGCTTCAGAAAGCTTGTTTTGTCTTTCGCTCATGTATTTTCCTTTCCTTTCCTGTCCCTCTCTGTTCTAGGAACCCGCTATAGGATCTGCTGTGATGTACTAAAGTTACACTTCCCTACTGCCAATAACACACTGCCTAAGGCTGTACACTAGAGTGCCTTTACTTAACAGCCATTGTGTATGTCCAGCTGAAAATGGACCCTCAAGAACCCACAATGCCTCAGTTATAGGGCTTCGTTTGGATACCTCACTGAGAAAGCTGTCCAAGTCTTCAGCATTGTGGTCTGCTAAAGGAAACTCTGCCTTAAAGTTCTCACAAGACTCTAGAGAGGATGCTGAGTTTCAAATGCAAGGCTCCACATTTTAAGATGCACTTTTTCTCCCTATTGATTGTACTACAGTATGTCGTCTTTAAACTGCAGTATGTTTTTGTACACTCAGTCGATCATAACTATAGGCCAATACTTCATACAAAAAGAAAGAACAAAGCAGACCTGTGATCCATATTTGCTGGCCTCTTACTATTCACGTGGGCATCTATCTTCTTGAGCAATAACAACAACTCTGTGCAGTGTATGGGAGTGGAGAATCAGTGCACCTGGCTCTGCTCAGAGTCAGTGGAAGCTTTGACAGGGTTTGCAGGATGCGATGCGATGTGCAAAGGCTTCTCTGTTCAGTTAAGGGTGTGTTTCACAGAGTTAATGTTCTAGCTCCAGAGCTAGGTATTTTGCTCTTGTTGGCAGGGGGAACATGGATGTCACATTGAACCGTGAATTGGTGGCAGCACATGTGGACCAGATCTCTGTTGAGTTACGATCCTGGTGTCTGGAAGCATCTGAACAGTTGTGAAACCAGCACCTTTGTATGTCTCGTTTTTCTTGGTAGTATCGTCTGCTTAGTGGTGTCCAACCACGCTGTAGTGCAGAATAAATTCTGACCAAATCTTTAAGGTTGGAAAAAGAGAGCAAAAGTGTTGTGGATGAGATCTCTGCTGACTGGCTGGTGGTTGTAGGGTGGCTGCAGCCTGTAAGAGGTTCCTTTCTGCCATTTTCTGGCTTTTCTGAGGAGGGGGCAAATGTAACCCAGATGTCTCTTCCTTTACTAGTCTGTAGCCAACGTGGAGTAGCTGGGGCCTGTTGCTGGTGCCATGTGCACCCCACTGCCACTGGACCACTCTGAATTGGATTGTGAATAGTAAAACTTCTTTTTTTCATTTCTTGAGACCATTGAAAGGTGAGCCAAACCAAAAGGCCCTTGAGCAGATGCCCAGGAAGGAAGATGCTGCTTACAGGGTGTCCCTCTCACCCTTCTTGGGGAGGACCCTGCCAATTCATGGTACATTTTGCTCTGAAGAATACAAAGGAGGTGGTCAGAGGAGGTGATAAGCCAGTGAATCCCTTACCGTCCACACAAAGGTGCAGAGCAGGTACCCAAATGCGGACTGGGTTGATGCGAAACGTGCTGTGAAGGAGGGCTGGGGCTGGCCAGATCTCCCTCGGCACGAAGGAGTGCTGAGCGATCCCGGGAGCAGCGGGTGCCAGGGAAGGAGGAGAGCTGCTCCTTCCCCGGGCTCCCGGCGGACACCCAGCAGCAGAGTCAGCGGTCCCCGGGGACACCGGGCCTGAGATGTCTACGGTTGGGCCAATACGAGCAGAACGGGGCAAATTTCCTGGCTGGGCTGGATTTAGGGGGGGCGGGTGGGGGAGGTGAGGAATGGCTGTATGGGACGGTTGGGAAAACGGTGCCAGTTGCAAATCTGCCACCCACATTTGGCGTCTAGCTTGTCAGTACTCTGACATGCAGCTGCAGGTAAGGAACCCTCGGAATAAATGCAACCATCTGCGCCCCTAGAATACAGAAGCATCACTCCACCCCTTCGAGGAATTTCCATCTGCCCGAGATCTGACCCACTGTGTTCATTCTGGGTGAAATTATGCCTTCTTTTAGCCTCACACAATACTAGTTCCCTGAAATTGGTTTTGCACAGATGTGAGGGCAGAATATGGCCCACTCTGTTTAATATATAAGTATATATATAAAACAAATAGATTTTATTTATATATGCAATCCAGTAAAGGAGATTAAACAGAGTAGGATGCCTAGTAATTTTTTTGTTACCCAGTCTCCTCCTCCTTCCTTGACTGTTCTTGTGTGTGTATACAATACATTCCCAGGTTCTGGTTTATGCAGGTATGCGTGTTATGAAATGTCATCAATGGTGGTTGGTCTACATATTCGTCTAATAAATAATAACTAATATCGTGTATGTAATATCAATCCAGAATTTACTAATTTTAATAGAATAACTCTTTGGCTTTTGTTCTGTTAGTGTGATTTAAACAAGCCAACAAAGTTTGGAATAGGTTGTTTTCCTTAAGAGGCATGAAAAGCAACTATTATCGTGTTACAATGTTAAAATATTCAGTCTTCTTTGACAGAAAAATGTGTACTGTGTAGGCATTGCAAAAAAAAAAAAAAAAAGAAAAAAAAAAATCCCACCTGCTCTAAGGCATTTGAATTTTTACAAATGTTTATTGTGCCAAATATGTGCATAGATATAATTTACTGTTTTGAAAAAGTCATAAAAGCATATGTTATAGCACACAAAGGATTATTTTGTCATCAAGTGATTTCAATCTTTAGTGTTAATATTTATATTTAGATTAATTTTTATAAATGAAAATATTTTAATGGGTAAAATGGAGACTATATGATCTATTTGATTGAGTCTGAGTGAATATTAAGCTTGCCTTGTTGTTGTTATCTGCATACTCACCAAGAATTATTGTGAAGAGAAATTATACAAGAGTAAAAGCGATTTACGAAAAGAATGCCTTTTCAAGGACTTGATTCATAAAGAAAACCCAAAAGTTCTCCTCTGTTGTTCGGATCTGTGCGCACCTCGGCCAGGAAGCGTGCGGAACGCGCTGCCGCTCGCCGTGCTCGGGCAGGGACCCATAAACGCGGGAGGGGGGCGGCTCCACGGGCTGAGCTGAGGGGAGGAACGCGCCCTAACGCCCTCGGCTCCGATTTTTTCCACTGGGGCCGGGGCGGGAGGCATCCCGTTAGGAACATTGAGTGGTTAGCCTTCTCCACGTGTCGAGTCTGTAGGGCGAAATACCATCTCAAACAGAGCTGCTGGGGCAGAATTTCTGTAACTCTCGCTGGGATTGCTACAAAATGACCAGCTGAGCAAGAACCCTGATGATAATTTTCGTCTAGTATTTCCAAAGTCCCATGCGATGAATGCTGATCAAAATATTTCTTTATCAGCATATTTTTTCCAGTGTGAGGGTGTTCATTTAAACTAGCATGTTTTAAATAACGCTTTGGGTCAGCAGATGTGTTGTATTATAAATAGTAGTAACTACCTTGTAAAAATCCACTCCTTGCTGACAGACCATTTGCAGAGAGAAAAAAAGGGTTAAATTATCTGCAATGATTAATTCAACCACAATTAAACTTTAGTAGTAATTCTAACAAAGCACAGCTAGAAATGCAAGTTCATTCTCATTTCTTTTGCAGAATGATTCATGGCCTGGATTTAACTGTCATTAGCTAAATTGTAAACTATCTTCTTTGGAGATATGCCATAGATTAAACTCCAGTTGAATATTATTGCTGGTAATAGTTACTAATCAAGATTAAGCATATTGTAAATAACACTTCCTATAAAACTAATACAACAAAGTTAATTACCATGGCAAACATGAGTATTGAGCCACAACCCCAGGCTTATTGCTGTGGACTCATGTAGTGGATGGTACACAGCTTGTGACCCTGAAAGTGTGACTGCAGCGTGAGCAGGTGATGCACTTGCAGACAACTGCGTTGTTGTAAAGGGACTCAGCTAGTTTAGGTCCTTAGCCCTTTTGGATAATAGTGCATGATTACATGCAGTAGGCACAAAACTATTCCGAAAAGTTTAATTATCCAATTTTTTTTTTTTTTTTCCTTCATCAGGGAGAAGGTACTTATCTTTTCTAGGAGCTTCTTTTTGTTCATTAATTTCTCTCTCCAGCAGTACAGGAAGAATCACAAAGAAGCCAGGGCTAGTTCAGGGCTACATTCCTATGAGTGGATGTTAACAATCTGCATAAAAACTACACACAGAGCACCAGCATTTCCTGCCATTGTTGCAGGTACATTAAAAACCAGTGAGAGCCTTTTTTCTTTCTTCCAACCATTGCTTTTTATTTTTACACATCAACAGCTGTTGACTTTGAAATGTGACAGGAAGGTTTCATGATACACTTCACACTGCAGTGTTTAAATCCCAGCACAAAAGCTGTGTGGTTTTTGGATAAACCTAACGTTACAGCGAACAGCATCAAGGGATTGGTAGGGACGTAAGATGAAGAAACATTTTTATAAGCTACGGTGGCACTCGGTGCTAGTGTCCATGCATTGTCTTTTACCTGCACCCTGAACATGTTTCTTTCTGAAGGAACTTGCACAAGGAGCAAAAAGAAGAGCAGCGTGGGATTGCCGGGCAAAAGCAGAACTGGAGGCAATTCAAAGAGCAGAGGTTGTGTCACCACCGCGGGGAAAAGAGGTCACCAGTCCTTGTCTTCTGTGTCCGACACTTTGTGCTCCCACAAAGCGTTCAAGACGAAATCCAGGTGCCTGCTCGCAGGCCTCGGGCTGCCCCGGCTGCTCCTCAGCTGCCTCTTCCCAAACCGACCTATGGGGCGAACACCACGGCCCACGTACCAAAACGGGTCGATCTCAGGACCTGGAATTCAAAGCAGTCAGTGAAGCAAATTCCACTGTACTTAAAGGCAGCATTTCCCGAACATCTCGACTGTGGTAGATAGTTTATTTTGTAGCTCCGGAAAACAATACAAAACAAAACAAAAAAAAAAAAAAAAAAAAAAAAAAAAGGGGGGGGGTAGAAAGGCTGCAGCCAGACACACTACTTTCTGGTGCCTTTGAGGGTTGCTTTTCATGCGTAAAACCCAAAGGAAGAGAATTCAGATGCAAAATTAATTTTCATCCATCTGGGTTGCAACCTGCAGTTCTAACATAAGCCAGAGTTCCCATCAAGTTCAGGAGGGCACAGCGGGCTTTAAAACCGATCTGAACCCTGGGAGAGGTTACAATGCAGTCTACATCCAGAAAGACCATACGAGCTCCCTGTACTGCCACTTTTAAACCTTCCTCTCCCGGCTGGAGTCCTGAAGGACCTACTGTCCAGCCTCCTTTTCTGCCGTGTGCACCAGGAACGCTATCTCTACAGGCGAACAAATCCACTGGGCTGCAGAGGGGGTACCTACGTGAGAGGCAAACATAAAAGGCTAATTCTTGCTCACTTATGAAGCTGTTCTCATGGATGACTTTTTTTATTTTAAAGCACCTGACGTGCACTTGTGCTTGACTTATTTTTATAGTCTAGTCTAGTTTTAGAGCCGGCATGGAGAGGGGTGCAGTTGTATTAAAAGACTAAGACATAGCAACAGGGAAAATCAACGAAGCGCTGCAGATGATGCCACCCCAAGGAAATGCCAAATCATTCCAAAGCTGGAGGACTGTCAGGAACAGGAATAAATTTCAATTTAAGTGCATTATATATCATCCGAGTCATATGAAAGTCTCAGGCAAGGCAGCAGGATTTTCCCCTGTGCATTTTGATGCTGGAACAGAGAAAATAAAAAATTCACTTTGGCTGTGAATTTCTCCATCAATACATCTTTTAAGTCTTTCCACACAGTATTTAACATGCCTCCTGCCCACTAAAGCCAAGTAACTTTATTTTTTTCACCTGGGTACCTAAAAACTGAGGCTCCCAACTTCTGTAGTCCTCTTTCATGAGGAAATGTATGCCACTGAGAGCCCATGTGCCCTACTCCCTACACCCCTCTCCCCCACTCCACATACAATGATCAGCCTTTGCTCCTTGGGGAAAGATGAGATTCCCTGATAAAGATTTTCTCAAAAATCTTTTGGACTGAATGTTAGCTTTCACCTGGGATATGTGGTATTGTCCCTCACCCGGCCAGCCTCAGTTCCTCACAGTGTCTCTGAATGGAGACACTTGTATATTGACTTTCAGACAACTTGTGATTCCAGACAGAAATGAAGATGTCTGTGAAGCAAACTTAAGCTTCTGTCCCTTGTTTTCTTGTTACTGTATAGAAGTAGCTGTGAACTATCCCAGGTCTACAGAGCACAGCTGAAAATTTGATGCTTAAATATTCAGTGTGTACTGCCTTACATCTCCTTTGTCAGTCTTTTGTACATTAGTGTCTCCTCTGGTGTTTACCAAAATTCACGCTATTTCCCTCGGCTAATTCAGGCCTGTGAGGACATTAGGTTCTGCACATGCACCTAGAAGTGTCAATGGAAGTACAGGACCCGACACCACCAGTTCACCACAGAAACACCCACATGGATTTGCTGCTGAACTTTGCCTGAGAGCCCAACCCTGATCCCTCGATGCACCAGGGACCGCGGGGTCACCACATGGGAGCCCCTCGCGTTACATCAGGTGAGACTCGTACTTACTTCTGTTGTCTATCTGATGTTTAAGTGGCCTGCTCTGTCCTGAAGCAAAGCTGAGCGATACCAAGAGCACCAGCATGTAGACAGTGACCAGCTTTAAGTGCTTGGGTGACCACTGGGCACGTGGTGTCCATGAGGCTGGATGCCACATGATGGAGCAGTGGTGGGAAGGCTGTGGGGAGAAAAGTGAACATGGGGAACATGTATGAGCTAAAGCTTTCAAGGCAAAGGAAGGTGTGAACTGTAACGGTGTGTTCCTGTCCATCAGAGCCATTCCATGACTAAGTTCTGTGAAGCACTGGTGCTGAGGATGACCTGGGTATCTCTGTTGGAAGGCAAAGGCTATGCAGTGAGCCATCTACTGCAGTAAGTCTGCCACTGGAGGTTTTTTCTCACCACCCATGAAAGCCCCTGCCATGGCTTCACAGGATACTCAAGTCCTGGCCCTGAGTTTGCTGCTGACTTTCTCTGTGGCCTTCTTTGACCATGGGCATTGGCCACCAATGTGTGTTTTAGCCACTACCTCCATCATCCCTTCCTCACTTGTAAAATATGTCTAATAGTTGCATTTTACACACTTTTTATAACTAAATGCATTTGAGGATGAAAGGGAACACTTCTGTGACATTATTCCCTTTCACAGCCAGCATGGAAAAGTACAATTTCTAGTTATGGCTTCCACTGGTACATTATCCCCATCCTGTAAATGCACCCAGATGCAAATGGATGAGAAATCCCCACCCCGCACCGCGAGAAGGGCTGTGCAGAATAGAAGGTGCCAGAGTTGGGAAAATCACATCCAGGAGGTGAAGGATCCCGGGCGTGGGTAACCCTGCGCCCTGTCCCTGGCATTTTGTATGTGCTTCCAAGCAGCATCTCCCAACTGTCGTGCTGGGACAGGCTGCCTTGTAGCATGCAAGGTCTGGCAGCCTGGAGCCTCTGCCTACAGGAGCTTAAGCTTAAGTTTGCTTAAGCATCGCTTACGGTAGATACACAGGTACAGAGCTATAGGCAATCCTTTCAGCTATACCTACACAGAAGCTTCTCCTTGTGTACGGGTGGGATTTTTTTTTTTTCCCCAGTGGCTGCCAAAATCTTAGCCTGCTTTCAGTACAGGCAGAGCAGGAATGAAAATCTTTCAGTGCAAGATGCTCGCAAGCACACTGCACAGGCAACACAACAAAAGCACGTGGAGAATCTGGTTGTGTCTTTCATTAAAATGCAAAGTCAAGAGCTTAATCCCTAGTATTCAGTGAAGTTTTGTTGGGGATTTTTTCCTGCACTGGCAGTTACTTAGCAGGCAGCTTAGAAGAAAGTGATTCTAACCTGTGATTTCAACAGAACTGTGAATTAACTTTTCCTAACTTGAATATCTCATGATAATCAGGACTAAATGATTTTAGCATGTAAAACTACATGGGGTGAGTTCTGCCTTCATTTTGAGCTGGTGTACATCTTGTGTTGCTCCATGTTTAGCAAAGCCTTAAATTCAGTGAGACAAAAAGATGTTTTGAGGCACCTCTCCAGAGTGCTTGCAGGGCTTCTGACAGGTTTTCCAGATTACTTGCTGTCTGGTTTTGTGTCTTGTTTTTCTGGGAACTGAGTGAGAAAAAGGAAGAGCTTGCCTTGAGCTCACTGTTGATGAGAGACAAACATACAAGGAAAAGCTTTTAGCACAGGCTTTTTCCTAAGCAATGCTGTGTCTCAGCCTCCACCAGCTGGTCCTGTGCCTGAATCAGCCATTCCAGCCTCCTTCTAGAGTGCAGTTATTTCTTGAACTTTTTGCTCATACCCCTGACCTGGCTAGGATTTCTGTGAAGTTCCCACTGCTCCTTCCCACAAGCAACCCCCTAAATAATCAGGGGGCTTAGCACCCCCAATCCTCCCCAACTTTTCCTCCTCCTCATTGTCCCACCCCTGTCTGTATGGGGAGAAACCAAGGCAGAGATAGTACCACAAACTTGACCCCGCATGATGCTGAGCATTTCCAACCCCCAGCTTTACCTTGTCACTAGGCTTCAAGGATAAGCACAAAATCCTGGTTACCCAGTCACAGTCCTTGCACAAGTAGCAGGGCTGGGAGATGGTCTGTGATCTTCTCCAGTTTGGTCCCTAAGCAGAAAGAGCCTTTAAATTTTGGCTGACCAATATCTATGCCAGCAGCCTGGCAATTTCCATTGACACGAGAGGGGAAAGGTAAAGCCACTAGTAAAGTTTCAGTGAAGCAGCAGTATCAGAGATTGCCTTGGGTCTGCCTCACACAAACAGTGGGAGACCAGCCTGGCTTTCCCTCGGGGCACACAGGGGCTCTCAGCACACCAAACTCAAGCTCTGCTGCAGATCCATCGGGACTAAACCTACTGTGGATGTCCTCAGAAGACAAGGTGCTATTAACTCTTTAAACCCTAAAATAGCATCTTACTCGAGATCAGCGGCTGTGTACACCCCCTCCAATGCAAACATGAATAGCTTTCATGTTTGAAAGCCACACTGGAAATCCCCACTGGAGATCAAACCCCAGGTGATTCCAGGCCTGGGACCACGGCTCATGTCAGGGCTGAGCAGCACGAAAGGCACACTGCTGTGCTGCTGGCTCCTGCATCTGCTCTCCCTGCAGGGGCACAACACTGTCGCCTCAGCACGGTCTCCTTCGCTGCAAAAACGGGACAAAAGTTACTGAGCACAGAGCACAGCCAGGTACATTAGCGTGGAAAAGCTAAAGCCCAAAAAGAAAACAGGAAATCCAGCAAGAAAGATCCAGGGCAAACGCTGAAGCAGACAGAGGAAGGCACTCACCTGTTTGCACCAAAGCTGCTCCTCAGGTAGCCGCTGCTCCAAGCAGAAGCAGGGCAGCTGCTGGGGGCTTGTGCCTTTTATACTGGAGGGAAGTGGGCTTGAAGCGGGGAGGGGGGGAGGGGAGTCAAGAGGTGGGCCAGGAGGACGTCAGCAGTACTAGTGAGCAAAATTTAAATTTACGAGAGGAGGGGTAGAGAACTGTGGCTCTATTAGAAAGGCATTGATCCGGGCAGGGAGCAGGAGCTGAGGGCAGCGCCGGGGGGTTGCAGGGGGGGGGGCCCAGCAGCACACCTAGCTGAGGGCCCCCAGCCCACCAAGAGGAGAGCAGAGGGGAGGGGGACGCTGCCACATCCCTATGGATGGGGGACATGGGCAGACTGGAGCAGCACCGGCTGCCACAGCCACGCTCTCTGCACGGGAGAGCCCAGCTCTCCGTGCTGGCCAGCTGAGACGCTCTGCCTGAAGCGCGTGTCTGCAGGGGGAAAACACTCGTGGCTGGGGATGAGGTGTGGGGAGAAAGAGTAGATGGACAGTGGGAAGCTCTCAGGGACAGCAAGCAGTCAGTCCACACTCCCCTTCCCAGCCCTTGTTCTTCTTCTTGTTGTCCCGCCTCTGCTTTCACTTGAAATCTTACTTGATGGCAGCTCTTGTCCCATTAAGCTCCCAACCCACAGCTGGGGTCAACTCACCCACGTGTAAGTTTTAGGCCATACTGCAACACAGCACCCAAGCAGCTGATGAAATCAGTTGTGATTCAGTGCTTAAGCAGGTTCTTACCGGTTTTGTGACAGAGACATTTTCATCTTCATGAGGCTAATACCTCAAGCGATATTGTATTTCTACAACAGACATCTCTTCTGTGCAGTTATTTTTAACTCTGTCTCTTGACTAATGTGTTATCGCAGTCTTGCTGTTACAGATCTTGCTGCTTTAATATAATAGCTAAGACTGTGTTTACCGTGAAGGTTTGTAGAGGAGCAGCAGTTGAACTGGCAGGTGTTTCACTCCCTGGGCACCATCCTGCGGAGAGGCTGAGTTATGAAGTGTCCCTGGGCTGCCCAGGGACCACAGGCTCTCTTGCAGCGATCTTTGCAGACACAGGGTTGTGCTCCGCTCCTGGTGAGACTGACTACCTGAAGAAACAATTTTTAAAGCTGTGCTTAGAAGAGGGAGGCTCTGAGGCGTGACCTGGTCCATAAATTGAGACTGGATAGGAAACGCTGCAATCCCTAAGTTCAATAGCAAATCTGTTGTTTAGTTTTTCTGCAAAGATACTACCAGTTGGTAAAACCTCAAAGTACAAATGACACTATTTCTCTGCAGCCACCTCCCAAAAGAAATTATTAATTTTTTTCCTAGGGGCAATTTGTGGGGTACTTCTACAAGGAAGCACAATTGAAATTTTGCCTGGCCCTGCCCTTATTCAGTATCCAGGCATCAAGGAAATGACCCCACTGCCACCACTGGGGGGGTATGGTTGCTAATTAGGATTAAAATAAATTTCTCATTTATGTGTAATAGTTTGCTCTATGGGCATGTGTATGAACACAAATGGTGAAAAAGCCTGATAATTCTTCCATTCTCCAATTTCCGCCCAGTAACAGATAAAAGAAGTGTCTTCCTCATCCAAGTTTTCAAGAGTTTACTCAGACTACTCAGGATTACAACTGCAAAATATGAAGAGCACTTCAAGTCCATGATAGCACAAAAGGTCTTTCTACAGCTAACACAATCAATAATGTATATACATGCTTTCTTCAGCAACCTCCTTTTAGCGTGTTCCCTTTGAATCTTGCAAATGCTTCCTACCTAAAAATCAATCGGCATCCAAGAACCAGGCAGTGCCTGTACTTCCGCTGTGCTGATTTTGTGTGCATGCGTGGAGCATATATCTTCTTAGTAAGTAAAACCCTTCAGGGTTTTGCAGTGTAGATCTTTTCCCTTACTGCTCTTCACATTGATTTTTGACCAGAAAATGTGGGTATCCTTTCGTGATCTCTATTGGGCAATTGCTGGAGTGAGGGCTTTTTCTTTCCAGGATGTGTAGGACCCCCGTCTTGTTTTGCTGTTTTGCTAAGAGATCCTATCGTCTTACAAGAGATTGAAAAGTCTTTTTCATCCCATTTACCCTTCCTAGCCTTGCTGCCACTGTAGTGTGAGTCTAAATAGCACAGATAATTTTCACCAGTTGCCACCTACATGGAAGTTGCCATGTAAAATAAAACTGTATAATGTCTTCATGTTAACGTGGTTTGCTTATTGGTAGATGCTGCTTGTAAAATAATATGCCATGCAAAGAAAAACCATTATTAGGAGTGCCAGCATTTAAAATGCTCTGGTATGATCAGCTGCTTTCGCTCTGGCCCAAGGTCCACCTACAGTCCATCTGCAGTATATTGGTTTTGATGGTGGCCAGCAGAAAACATCTAGGGAAGAGTCTAAAAACAGGGCAGCATATTTTGACTTTCCCCGCTAGACTATTTTTCCAGGTCCTCGAGCCTTGTGGTCCAGATGCTTCCCAAGCCAAATGTTTCTTTGTGGTAGGTAGCCCTTAATGAACTACTCTTCTTTCACAGTTGCTTCTTGAACCCATGTAAATTCTCAGCATCCACAAAATGGTGTGCCAAGGACTTCAGCTCTCTCCCTGCTACAAGAAGGATCGCGGCCGTGCATCTGTTCTGGACACACCACTTCCCAATTTCAAATGCTTATTTTTTCATTTTTGCTTTCAGTCATTCTGCCTTCATGAAAGGCTACAATAAAATGTTCTAAGCAATGAAGTCTAATAAACTATGTGACAGTCTATTTAAATGAGCCTCATCAGGCATTTCTCTTACCAAAGTACTATTTTACTTCATTCTCATTGACTGGAAGTTATCATTTCTTTCCACCAGACCATGACTGAACTCCACGGTGCTATGTGTAGTACTCAGAAGCTTCACAGAAATCATCCTGATTTGTCAGGAACTTTTCAGACAGTTGTGATTTTATTTTATTTTGTTATCCCATTCATAGCAGGGCTTATGCTTTGGCTGAAGAAAGCAAGTCAGCTCAAGCAACACAGAAATGTGAAAGCCACTCAGACTTGGGAGGAGATGGGAAAAAGCTCTCAGGAGAAAGGGGGTCATGAAAGACTGAGCCGGGAAGATTATCTAAAGGACAGCTTGGTCTGTAGTGAAGGGGGCAGAGATTTGCATGTTAAATCCTCCATCCTTCCTCCGTGCTTGAATAAGAGGCTGGGCACATGCTTTCTTCTTTATGGATGGCCCATGGGAAGGTCTCAGGCCTCCATCACTTCCCTGCCCCACACACAACCAACAACTCCTGCATGTAAAATTCCTGCATAGGTTATGGGAGCAGGACTGAGCCCACTGTTAGCTGGAGTGTCCTGGTGTCTTGGTGGGATGGCTGACCAGGGAGCCACTGTGGGATGCAACTTCTTAGAAAGGCAGCAGATACACAGGTGTGAAGGGCTGTGGGGAGAAAAGTAACTTCCCAAGGCTAAAAAGAGGTCGGGCTCCTGAGCAGGAAATGGTGAGGGGGATGAATGGTGGCAATGGGAAGGTATCACCTGGAGGCTGGAGTGACCCAAGAGGTCCAGGGAACCTGCCACAGAGGAATATTCTTTGGGAAGACAGCACCAGAGGCCAACAGTGAACTACTTTGTTTTGATGACAAACTCTACCATCAAGTCTGCTCAAAGAACTAATCCAAAACTTTTTTCTGTACTTCCTTTGCTGGTAGAAGCCTTCCACAAACAGAAGGTGAAATGCACCAAAGCAAAGACATTTGATGCAGTTGGATGGAGAAATATAAACATTTTTTTTCCAGCCCACCACACTCACTGTTTCACATACCAGTGTGTGAATAGTTTGCAAATGCCTGATCCATCAATCTGCTCAGCCTTCTGTACCAGCCTCGTGTGTGTGAAATTAAATAAAACATTGCTGGTGTGATCTTGCTTAGCCTTGAATGAGAGCGGGGGATAACACTGATGCTTGTGCTGCCCAGAGCCGGAAATTCTTAACTGACATTAACTAAGAAGTATTTGATCGATAAGAGGCCCAGTTCCACTAATTGAGTATGGAGGATTCATGAAAAGTTGTTTTCAAATCTATTCAGAAAACCATATCAATTCAAGCAACTAGACGAGACTGTTAGTTACATGTATGTAGATTTACATTGAAGCCGTTCTCTGTGAACATTCAGGTTCAGAGAAAAAGCAGGACTGCCATTAGTTTGGAGCTATTTTTTTCGTTAGAGAAAGAGGACCATCTAGTGGTTAACAGAAATTATCGTCTTGCCTTCAATCATTACCGAGCAAGGAACGAACTTCCACACGTTTCAAAGGAAAGCATATGTATCTTGAAATCTGACCACGTACTGAAGCTAAACCAAACTGCATACAACCCAGATTCCGACAAGTTAGACTGGATATCCAGGTGTTTACCACCAGCACAATTCCCAGTTTGCCCAGTTCTCCCAGTTAGCACATGCTTACTGGAACAACTTGTTAGCAGCTGGGCAGCTCAAGCACAGGCTACAGTTCAGGACATCAGCCAGTCTCCCGGAGCCCTTCCTCAGAACACTGTGGAGGCTTTGCCAGAGTTAGAGCTCTGATGGAAAAATAGGAGTCAGCCTTGGCATGGTTACGGCCACCTTCGAAACTGTCCTGCTGACAGTACAGATAGAGGGAGGATTTCTTCTGACACTTTCACCAGTCTTCCTCCCTGCTAGAAAGACACCAGCCAGCCTTCTGCACAGCGGTTTGGGATGTGCAGCTTCCAAACACAGCTGGATACTGTAGGTACAGTCAGGTAGCAGGAGTAGGGAAGATTATAGTTCAAGAAATAATCAACTATGGAAATACTTTTGCCCATCTCTCAAGCATCCAGCACTTTGACATTATTTTCAGGATGCCAAAGTTAAGCCAGCAAAGGCATGCTTCTGGCACTGGAGTAGAGCAGAATTTGTGTATAGAGTAGTTGCATTGCTGGAATACAGGATGGAAATTAGTGCTGCTACAGGCCGTTTGCACATTTCATGCACAATCATTTTGTCAGGCAACTTGAAGTTCTCTTTGAACACTCTGTGCTTTAAGCAGTAATTGTCTGAGTTTCCAGGCTGTTGCAGAGGACAGGTCAGCATGCAAGCCTGCGATTTTCTGGTAAGGCAGACTATAGGACCAGGTACAGGGGATCTGCCCAGAGGAGCAACACTTAATCAAATTAAATTTTGGCTCTGTAAAAGCTCTTAATGAATAAAACTTAAAATATTAGGGTGCTGCACATGAAAATAATAGTAGTATATATTAGAACCAAGTCTATAAGAAATTAAAAGTTTCCTACAGTATTTCATTCCAGTTATTACAGAGGAGATTGACGGTAGCCAAAGGTAATGGCAGCCTCGTGCATGTACACATGCAAAGACAGATGTCATAGAGAGTCCTAAATTAAAGCAGAGCTTTAGCCCCTGCCATGTGGGTGACTTGGGTTTTTTCTTATGCAAGGCTTTCACGTGGCATTCCCAGCCGATGTTTCCAACACAGCAATTCTTTGGAAGAACAACGTTTATCCCATTGGTCTGGGTTACTCGTTGCTCCTAAAGGGCAGCCAAAGTGCTTCTGAGGGTATCTAGTATAGGTCCAGTTCTGCACCAAGGTGGCGATTTTTACAAAAGTGTATTTTATGGCTTCAGTATGTCATATTTTTCACCTGCATGCCAGTGAGATCCTGGTTTTAAACTCTGCAGTTTATCCAGTCATAAATAACCTCTAATGATTCACGTACAGCTTGACAGATTAATTGAAATATAGTAAAAGGCAAGCAAGGGGATCGCAAATTGCTATTCATAACCAGGTCTTACAACTATTACACTTAAATAGCTTGAAACCACGATCAAGATAATGAGAGATGATGTTCTTTTCTGGCACAATAGTTGCCAGGTTATACGTTAGTCATGGAAAGGCAAGAGTCTTATTCCTGATCCATTGCTTAAACCCTGATGTCCAATAGATATTAGCAAATGAGATTAACTCCAGCCCCGGCTCTAGGATAATTAGCTGTAATCTGAAATTCAACAGCCTAAGCAACAACATCTCTTGCTTCCACTTAGGTTTTAAACCTATTTTAACTGCTTCTACCTTTTTAGTTTGCTGCTTGTGCCATGTCTGCCTGGCCCACTTTTCTGCAGCCTGGTGCAGCTGAAAGCCCTTGGAGCCAGGACTTTCACAGGTCTATTGCCACGAGCGGCTGCTCAAGAGCAGTGGGAAGGACTCAGTCAGGACGAAGGACCTCGGGACGGCTGTCAAGGGGCAAAAGCAGGAGAAGCACATCGCCAGCAGGATGCCACCTGTCTCTGCCCACAGTGACCAAAGTTTGGTGCAAGGTGCTGGCACAGACTGTATTTGTGTCAGACCTAAGTGACAGACATGACAGGGAGACCTGCAGCTCCCTCTGAGGACAGCAGAGGGAGAGCTCTTTGTATTGACACAGCCCCACAGAGACCCCACGCCAATGCACGTGGCCATTGCAGCAAGCTGCCAAGGGGACAATAAGCGTGCTGGCCACTGTCTTTGTTTTAATTGCTGCCCAGTGCATGCCAAGCTCTGCAATTAGGGTTTGTTTCCACTCCCTCTGCGGTTGCCAAGGTTTGCACTTAAGAACTGCTCATTGTGGTTTTGTTTTAAGGACAACAAAGTCACATCTTGGCTTATAAAGGAGCTTCGTTGTTTCCCAGACATCCAATCTCATTTGTCAGTAAACTGTACAATGAATCCCACAGTTGCCCAATGAGCCCATAGGCCCGGGTTAAGCCTGCAGTGAGAACTAGAAATACAAAACTATGTTAAATGTATGAGGATTCAAAGCACAAGAACCGCCACAGTGAGCAGAGAACTTACCTAATCCTGCAGACTCGGACTTGGGTTTTTCATCTGAAGACCCGCTGTCCTCTCATCATCATGGCCAGGCCTATCTCAAGCCTCTGTTCTCTTTGGTTGTCCCAGCACAACTGTTGCAGAATTATGCAAGTGGAGTGGATCTGAGATTTTTAACCTTTGAATTTGTTTTTTAACTCAAAGCAGTTCCCTGATCTGGCTCATCACAATGCCCCACGGACAGCAGTACTGGCCCAACCAAAGTAACAAAAAACTGTGGCTGGGGGAAAAAAAGGGGATGGCAGGCCTGCTTTGCTGCTAGGAAAAAGCTTCATGGGATGATGATGGGAGAGCAAAAGATACAACAGAATTTTGCACAGAGATGTAGACTTTGCAAAAACACAAAACGCATCAAAAAATCCCCACATTAGTAGTAACATAAGTTCTCTGAGGTCTGGAGACAACCTGGGGACATATCCCTGAGGATGGGTGTCCTGAGCTTACTCAACCTGCCCAGAAGGTCTCTCAGTGTCTAGCTGTGCATCCTTAATCCACAGACATTGTCCAAATCATGGCACATCTGTGACTGAAGTAGGTGCCTCAAGTTCTGTAATTAGCATCTCTCCATCCTCCCATTACTGTCCCAATAGTGCCTTTTGCAGCTGCTTAGGAAAGGGTTAGACAATCCTTCTCTACCACCCGTGCTGCAGTGAAAGGCTTCATCAGCAATAGTAGCAAAGGGTAAGCAGAGGTTTTGAACCACAGCAGATGGCCTTGCTTTCCCCAAGGGAAAAAGAAAAGCTTCCCTGCAAAGTGGCAGGATCAGAAACTTTTTTAGACCAATGCACGCTGACATTCATAAACTCCCGCAGTGCTGATCCAGGCCTTGGATCACAAAAGAGAAGTACTTTTGATTTAAGAGGACTGAAGCTTAGTATAAAAGCCAAAAGAAAAAAAAAAAAAAAAAAAAGAAATATAAGTTCTGGCAGTTGTGCCAATGCAACTAGGTTATTGTACATCTGCAAAGCCATTAATCACCTCCCAAGGACCGGCAAGCTTTGTAACACAAGCGCACGTTTTTCAAGGCAAACCTTTAGCATTGCAGCCCCACCCCCACTTATGTGTGTGTGTCCCCCCAAATAGCTAGCGGCCAGGCAGCAGGCAGCTCTCAAACGGGGAGTCCTGTGGGGCCTTGGCAGCACCCCAGGGTGTAACACAGCAGCTCTGCCTCGCCAGCAGCACCCACCTGATAGGGAGGGCGAGGGCACAAAGCGGGGTACGTGGGTGGTTTTTGGGGTGCTGCCTCCCTCAGCGTACTTGTGCGTGTTAAGCAGCATTTTGTCCAGCAGGGTAGGCCTGAAGAGGTGTGGGGGTGTTTCCAACACGTTTGAGCGAGGATGGGGGGAAGCCCTCTCCCAGATTCAGATCAGCTAGAAAAGTCAGCCCAGCAGCTGACAGGAGGGAGCTTGGAAACACGGCGGGGGATCAGGAAGCGGCACCACCCAAAGGCTCAGGAGCACGGAAGGGACACCCGTGGGGGTCGGCCCGCGGCATCCCTGAGGGCGGCTGGCATGGAGAACGAGCGGCTCCAGCGCCGCTGCCGGGGCCCCTCCCGTGTGGGACCGGGCTCCCGCCGCCGCAACCCCCGGCTCCCCAGGGAGCGGCCGCTGCCCGCCGCGGTGCACTCTGGGCACTGTAGTCCTCCGGCCCGGAGCGCCTGCCCGCGCGCTACGGCCGCGGGGCGGCGGGGACTCTCCTTCCCGTGGGGCAGCGCGGGGGGAGGGGGGGCGGTGCCGGCCGTCACGTGCCTGGCGCGGCCAAGGCGAGCCGCCATTTTATGAGGCAAACCGGCGGGCGCTGCCCGTTAGCGGTAGTGTGGGGCGGGGTGCCGGGGGCGTCGCGGGTGAGGGGCGGCGGGCTCCCTCCCCTTTTTATTTCCTTTTGCGCTTTCTCCTCCTTTTAATCTTTTCTCTCTCCGCCCCACGCCCCCTTCCCTCCCTCTCAGACTCGCCTCCCTCCCTCCGCTTTTGTTACCCCTCCCCTCGCTTCCTCCCCTCCCTCCCCTCCCCGCCCCCGCTGGCACTGCGGAGACGGAGACGTGACCCGAGCGGACCCAGCCGCGGCCTTTTCCCCGCTGCTTCAGCCTCTCGCCGCAGAGTCGCATGTCATCTATCCAGAACCTCCAATCCTTCGGTAAGAGCCGCCGCCGGGCACACCCCCCCCTCCCTCCCCCTTGTGTCGCAGGGAGCTCCCCACGGTCACCCCCTCGGCAAACCCACGCCGGAGCTCCCCCCCGCGCCCCCGCGGTGACACCGAAGCCGTTGCGGAGCGGGTGTTGCCACCCCCGGCGCTGCCCGCTCTGGAGAGGCGGCTCCGGCTGCTCGTCCTTGTCCCCCCCCGTCCCCCCCCAGCTCCGTGGCGCCGGCCCCGGGACCAGCGCTGCCTGTGCGGCGGAGAGGAGTCGGGTAGGAAGCTGATCGCCCTCCCTTTCCCCTCCCGCAGGAGGTGCTGCCGTGCCCCCTGCTCTGACACCCCGTACCGCCCTTTTTGCCCGAACGGCCCCCCAAACGGGTCGTTTCTGTCAACTCTGCAGTCCCAAAGTTGTAATCTTTGTGGGCAGGGGGGAGTCTAGGGTTCGTTTCCTCTGTTAAGGAAGGCAGTCATCTCCACAGTTCCAATTGCTTGTTGATTTGTTGCCTTATCTTATCATTACCAATGTCCCCAAACCTGATGTATGCTCTGCAAAGGGTGTTATTTCTATAGACCGAGCTATGCAGATAGTAGGTCATTTCTCTTGTATTAGCAGGGAAGTTTACTGTGTTGGGCCGTGCTTCTCCGCTTTCCTTATCTATGCGCAACAGAAGTGAGCAAGTTAACACTTTGCGATAATGTCTGGCTTTTGGTCACAGTTTTGCCTCATGTATTCTGCATATATAAGCTGTATGAGAAGGTTATGTTAATCAGGATTTGGGAGCTGACCCTGTGCTTAGGGAGGTGCTGCCCAAAGGATTTGCTTGAAGTGATCCAGTGTTAACACTTACAGTGCTGACTTATCTCCGACCTAGAATCCTAAACTCTACCAAGGGGTTTTCATGCCCAAGTCCCATTTTTCTTTCACCTTTTCTTTGATTGACATTTTCTATTAGTGTTTGCCCCACGAGCTGTGGGGTACAATGAAATTCAGCATGTTTTAACAGATGCCTTTGTAGACATTAAGCCAGTCAAGCTACCCAGAGCTCTTCTACTTTCCTGTGGTGCTTGCATCCTGTAGATGCTTTCAGTGCCTTTAATGCTCTAGTCATTCTTGTTTCTACAAGGGTCAGTCTGTCTGCAGCTGAACTACTTCTTTTCCTGTTTCTTCTGGAGTTTTATTCTTTTGGGGCATTTGTTTTGCATGGATGGCAAAACTTGATCAGTGTTTTTAGGTCTGAGTTTTGGATGGAGGTTTTGGAAGTTGTAGCTTGCATGGCTGTTGAACATACACTTTCTGAAGATTCGATTCTTCAGTATGATCCTGATTAGTATCAAAAAAATTACTTGTGATTAATTTAAAAAACTTAAAATACTTCAGATTTCAAGATTTACTTGAAGCTACTGATTAGGAAACTTTGTAGGGCTATCAAATTTCTTGATAAAGTGAGTGTTAAATATTTTTTTTTGTGGAGAACAGTGAATAAGTAATACAACCTGGGAACCCTTCTTCTTCCTAAATGCCTTCTAGTTTCGCCTGTGCTAGATAAATTTAAGCTTGGAAGAATTTGAAAACTGACCTTTCTATAGTCAAAGCCTAAATCAATTTTGTTGTTATTCTTGCCTAAAACTACTGGCTGGCAGAGAAGTGCTGGTTTACAGCCTCTGACATAGGTTAGTGTCTGTTGCCATGTTCTGTTTACATTAGTAGCCAGGAATTACATCCATGCCTTAAAGTGCTGGTGGTGTAGTGGCTGTTACAGTGTAAAACTTCTGTTCTGGACCTGTAAAGGAGTGTCTGTACTAGAGCTTTTTTTATTTGTCCATATCAGTTGATCTGATAAAAGCTGCAACTTCCATTTTTCACTTAAATTTTAGAGAGCAATGTGCATTTCATGTGCACTTGATGTTCTCTTAGAACCACTTTTTCAGGTTCAGAGTTTCAGGACTTACAGTTTACAAGAAATAGTGAAGTAAACTGATACTGTAGCTGAAAACTGTTTATATCTGGGAAGGCATTGAAGAAACTGGATGCATTATGGTTGAGAGTGTTATGCTGAGTTAGTAGGCTAGTGAGAATACAGCTGTAGAAAAAAAGTACTCTGATTTTAACTGTGTGTTTGAACAGGGAGAAAACAGCAACGTTATCACAAAGAGTTTTGTTTCCAGGAAGTGAGAAACCTACCTGTTAGTTTTGAGCTTGGGTCTTTTCCTTCGTGGGAATTACATTAATCTTTCTCCTCCTGCAGACCCCTTTGCTGATGCAACAAAGGGTGACGACTTACTCCCGGCAGGGACTGAGGATTACATTCATATAAGGATCCAGCAACGAAACGGAAGAAAGACACTAACAACTGTTCAGGGAATTGCAGATGATTATGACAAGAAGAAACTTGTGAAAGCTTTCAAAAAGGTGAGATTGCTAATTTGATTTGACAATAAAGATATTATATAAAGGAGTATGATAGCTTTTAATACTAAATAACAGAATATTTGTTTTATTTCATTCTTGCCAGTGCACATCACTTTCGTATTCGGATTGATCCCTTTCCCTGTCTGTCTCAAAACTCCCATCAGTGTCTAGTAACACTGATTTTTGCTAAAAAAGTTAAATGTTTCTTTCCTATAAATAACTAAATAAAATATATTCTGAATGTTTCATTAAAACGTCACAGATATCTGGCTTTGTTGATGTGAAGAATAAAATCAGTTTAAAAGGATAACTGGTTTTGCATTCCTGCTTCTGTTATAGATAGTTGCTGTTGAAAACAAGAGATAGTGAGTTTTGCCAGGATGAAAATACTTATTTTAAAATAGCACAGAGTTGAAAGGCTGTGTCTTATGACTTTGTTTTCCATTCTTGCAATCAGTGTTGGCCAGTTTTTGCCGCACAGCGGCTAATCCTGTTTTTGCCTGAATTTACCATCAGCAGCTTAGTTTGTGTCTGTATGCATCAGCAGATATATTCCATTTGCCCTCAAAACCAGTGTGAAATAGATCTAGCCTTTGCCTTGCTTGGCATCAGAATTTAGTAAGCAGCTTCTCTGACGAAAGATTTACTAAGCAAAATCATAATGTACATCAGATGTCTTACAATCTGAATGTTTCTCTCTAGAAATTTGCTTGTAATGGTACTGTGATTGAACATCCCGAATACGGTGAAGTTATCCAGCTTCAAGGTGACCAGAGGAAGAACATTTGCCAATTCCTCTTGGAGGTGAGGGACTGCAGATAAATAAACCTCTCTGGAGGCAATAGAGTGACAGGTGGCATAGATGTTTATTAACCAGTTAAAGATGTCCACTGTAGTTGCTTTATATTTTCAGCCAAAAAGTAAAATGACACTTGCAGAATGAGAATAAACCTCCGGTGAGAATCAAAGCACTGTAGAATGCATTTACCCTGCTACAGTATATCACTTGTTCTCTGTCAGTGCAGCTCCAGTTCTTCATTTGTAAAATCAAGCACTTGATGCAAACTGTAAGTTTTGAGACTATAGAAGAGAGAGGCATACTGATGTAAATCATGATGCAGAGGTGTTATGCTGCCAAAGAGTAAGTGCTAGGACTACTGAACAAGTCAGATACCTGATAAGATTTCTTTTTTTGTGTAGTCAATTCGTATGTTTGGCCCAGAAACATTCTGGAAACTAGCAAACTGCTTTTATTGCCTATATACTGTATTGCAGTTTCTTTAATCAAAGTATAAGTAACTTGATATCCTAAACATGTAAGCTTTACTGAAATATGTTGCTTTTCTCCTTTAGATTGGCATTGTCAAGGAAGAACAACTGAAAGTTCATGGTTTCTAAAATACCTGTACTCTCATGAAGAACCCTGCAGTATTTGGTCTTACCTAGCCTGGCTCTTCTGTGAAAAATGAATCTTTGCAGTGAATGGACTTCCCTGTTACCTGAACATTTAAAATTTGATTCAGATTTGCATGTCTGCGTGAAACATGTGGTGTGTAGACTAGAAACACATAAGAAAATTTCAGTAAGGTGGTAATGAAGACACTTGTGAACCTTAACACATTTCCAATGGAAATGTTTTAGCGGTCGTTGTTCAGTTTAGTACTCTCCACTTGACCTAAATATGTGGGTTGTATTAAAATAGTGTGTGCTGTTGCTTAAGAATAAAAGTTTATTCACATATTTTCTGGGATATCTGAAATGCTTTAGCTTAAGTTTTAAACTGGCACAGCAGCCTTATTAAGAATGGCTAGATTGTTTTGTGGCAAGTGTAGCTTACTGCTGATTGAATAAATTGAAAAATCTACACGATGAAGTATTAGCTAATTAAGCAGTAGATTAGCTTGATGTGATCTCATACTGTAGCTGTAAGGCTAGAGCTTTGAAGTCTTTTGTGTAGGTGTATTTTAGTAGCAGCATCATAAGACATAAAATTGTTTGCTGAGTGACTGGATCTTCTCTAAAATTTACTGCAGTAACTATAAAATATTAGCGTTAAGCATAGTAGGACTAAAATAAGCTGAACTCCTCAAGGCTGCCATTACAGAGAACATGCTAAACATCTAGGTCTTACATAGTCCTCCCGAAACATTTGAAGGAAGTGCATGGGATTTTGTATCTCTTCTGTCACTGAGTGAAGGGAAAAGACATTGAGTTGGCTTCTGCCATGACTGTGCATTTAATGTTGGCGAGCAGAGTGCTTTAATTAGCTGGTAGTGTTAGCTGCAAAAGTGAGGATGGGAACAGGCTCTACACTAAGCTTTTTTTTATTCCTCGTATAGAAAGTTTTGCTGTGATTAACAATTAATATGGAGGGGTTTGTAGTGGGTTTTGGGTATTACTACAGAAAGCTGATTTAGTCTGCTTTTCTAGTAGGCAATTCATTCAGTGTTATCTGAAGTTATAATAGGTTTGTTCCACTGTGCTTTTCATCTAGTATTAGTTAGCTGTAGACATTTGGTATTCTGCTTTTAAGACATGTCTCTTTTCAGAATGAAATGGCTTTGTTTGGTGAAACATGCAGATCTTATCTTCCTTGTGATATAGATGTAGAAATTTTCTCTGAAACAGTTTAAAACATGCTGAGTTGGGAAACCATAAGAATTGTGGTAAATGTTAAAAAAAAATTCTGGTAATATCAGGTATTGTCTGGAAAGGAAGAAAGAGACATTTCTTTGCTGCTGAGACTTACTAATAACTTATTCAGAAAAAAAAAAAATCTGACTACCGAAGTAAACATTGAGAATGGCCAAAACTGTATTACTTACTGTCACCTGTGCCTATACTTAGTTTCCTGTTCAGACTTGCCTTTTTAAACGGAAATGCTCAATTTTAACTCACTTGAATGTTTTTTGGTTTGGGTTTGGTTTTTTTTTTTTGGACTTCTGAATTCAGATATGAACCTTTATGGCACTAGCAACAATTAGGGGAGCACCCGAGAGCATTCATATGACAACTTCTTTCTCTCTCTGGTCTAGAGAATTCCACCTGTAAGAATCCCGTGTCCAGTCTCTCCACAAATTCTGCCTGGTGTTACAGATCTTAACTATTTCAGAGAATGGCCATTCCCGAAGACGGGATACTGTTAAGGTATAATGTGTTCAAGAGGAGGAAATGGGAATGCCTGCTGCAGAACATGAAATACCAGCACACAGAATGAAAATCCAAAGAATAAGTGTTACGCAAGTCTTGCACATAGCAGAATAAAATCCTTGTACTGCAAGTTTACCTAGTCCTGTTTCATAGATGCTAAGGTAATTAATCCTTTGGAGGGTACATAGTGATTTTCATTTTATCAGATGCCAGAAAACCTGACGTTCTCATTTAAAGCTTGGTCTCCTGCCCAAGAGGAAAAGCAAGCAGTATTTTCTCCTATTTCACTGGTATTACTTGAGTACTACTTGTGGTTCTTGAATTGGAGATTAACAAATGATTAGCAAGTCTCATGTGTTACTGAGTCAGTCTTCATTTCAGATGGCATTCCATTAACTTTTACTACCTAAGCTTGAGTCATTTCTCCACAGTCATTCAGCTTGGAATAAATAAGTAAAACCTTTGTTTTCTTCCTCCTCATTTAAAAGTAATTTCTGATAGCTATCAACTGCAAGGTTCCTCCTGTCTTGGGTTTTATGCTCTTAATGGAGCTGCTTGTGTTTTGAACTTTGAAGGGCAAAATTAAAAGGAGAGGCAGTAAGAGGTAGCACATTTGAAGTTTAAATAGATATTTGTTGTAGCAACAATCTGATCTTTCTAGAAGGAAAGCAGAAATTTTTGTCCTTCAAGTGTTTTTAAAGTATAACAATGTCTCGATATGTTTGTAACTAGCCTTGTTACAAGCCCAAGTCTCTTTGAATGTTCTAGAGGAAAGACTTCAACAATTTCATGGTTTATCATCCTACTGCCATGAAAACCTGTTTTCACGGCGAAGGCAGGTTTCCATTTTTCCATCTATTCCAAAATAGGTTAAAAAATTACTGGCTTAATGATATCTAGGCTTAACCACAAGCTGCAATTGGACGTAGGAACTGCTGTTTCAAATTCATGGCCTTGCTGTGCGCAGTTATAGTAGACTGTTGTAGCTGACTCTTAGCTGATACACTGGAGTAAGGTGTTGCATAAATAAATTGAATTGTCTGTTCAGAGCCTACATCAGCCTAATGCAGTTATGAACAGTGAAGCCATCACTTCCCAAATGGTGGTAGCAGACCTTGTTTGTAGGTGGTGAGCTTTAGTAATTTAAGTCTGTAAGGTGCCTGTTTCCTCTTGCGTGAATTATCAGACCCTTGACCATCACCTGTAGTCTGCTAGATCTGACCATGCATTTCAGGGATGGGCGTGAAGAGCAAAACTGGGCAGACAAGCATAATTTTCTTAAGTGAAAGAATGTTTGAAAAGAATAGTGCCTAGATTGTGTGTGTGTACTGTTCATTGGTCCAGTGGCTTTGCTTAAACCTTAATTCCTGCATCAACGTTCTTGCACAGCCTAAGTGAAAAACATTTTGTTCTGGAGAATTTTTTTGGAGAGGGAAGAAGGAACCCCACAAAAAAGCACCTTAGGAAATAAGTTTATATTTTAAGTCTGTTTTCATTAATTTACATACTCTTGGACTGTAAGACCTCTGTACCATTGTTATTTTTTTTCCTAAATGCTAATTAAAGTTCCTTGAGAGTTTGGCATTTAAGGTTCTAGATATATCAAAAGCCACTATAAAACTTAAAAGTGCGAAGAGTTGTTGAAGCTTAAATTTTAAATATTTGAAAAAATAATAATTAAACAGAGGTCTGCAGTTTGTCCTGCACTGCTGTCTTGCTTATAATCAGTATGTAGTTACCCTGAAGATGTATACATATTTACAGACCTCCCAGTAAGCAGATATCCCTGGTGTAATGCGATACCCTGGTTGTAGGTCTTGTAAGATCATATCTAACGTACTGCACTGTTACAGGCTGTACTGTAATTTTACAGTGTGGGACAGATGTACCTTGAATTCCAGTCAGCAATTATCTTTTCCTTAATCCACCTGGAAGGCTCTAGTGTACAGGATCCCTGTGTTATACCCTTGTTTAAAGTGGCTTGATAGTTCCTCTTACTATGTGAAATTATGTACAAGGTTGGTATTTGGCCAGTTAAAGAATGGGGGAGGCCTTTAGGAGATGACTTTGGGACACAGTAGGGGTTGCTGTCACTTTTGGTGTGTTCAGTGTTGATTGGTGTCACTAGGTGTTCCTCTAATGTGCTTCTGCCACTGGGGAAATGGAAGTGGTCTTAGAGGGTCATGTGTATTTAAGTACTAAGGATCTGCCTTCCTCCTAAGACTCTCCATACATCCATACTCAGTGTAGTTAGGGAAGTGTCCCCCGTGCATGGCAACGCGAATGCTATTTTCCATTTGCCAGATCAAAAGCTCTTGGAATGAATAAGGAAAGAACAACATCATTGGTTTGTTTGCTGTACAGATGCTTCATGCCTACTGTTTTCGGTTTAAAAAAAAAAAAATCTTAAAAGAGGATTTGTACTTGGCATGCCTTTTTAATGTTTGCTACATGCCTGTCATTGATCTCTATGAACAAGTCTTAACCTGTATTGGAGTGTTGCTGGAGAGTTGAGACAACCTTTTGAAATAAAATGTACCAATGTTATTTTATGTATGCTTTTATAAAACGAATGGAATTTTATGCTGTTGTTAAGGAGGATTATTTTTTTGGTGGAAGATAGAAGTAGTGTAATTTAATACTGATGTATGTGATCCTCTTGTAATCAGCTTTGATTTCTTCAAGAAATTCCTCTCTTAAATTTCTACCATAATCTGTACTAACCAACTTAAAAATACTGTGATTTGTACTGGGATAACATAGTTCTAAACCAGGATGATCATATTGGCTTGAGGTCTAAAATTTTGGGTAGAAAAGAATCGTCTGATTTCTTGAATAACCAAAATGCACAGTTTTGGGTAACGTGTGCTCAAGCTTGTTCTCAGCTATTTTAGAATGCCTTGCATCTGTGAAATGTGACAGCACATTTCTGAAATTAATTTGGGGTCCAATTAAAAGTATTTGTGTATATAATAAATGCTTTTTTCCATTTTAAGCCATCTTTGCTATGATTGTGCAGCAAAAAAGCCCCGTGATCCAGCCTCAGTTGTCCGAGTTATGAGTAGCTGAATTCCGCAGACGTGGCTGCAAGTAGAGTGGTCATGCTTCCGAGACGGGGTTTAGCTGTCAGCTGCGTTTGTGGTCCCTCTCCCAGTCGGGCAGGGGAACGGCGGCGGTTGCTGCAGGACAGGCAAACGGGCCTTGGCTCTCGGGACGGGACAGCTAACCCCGTGGCAGAGGCTGCTGCAGTTGTTCCAGTAGCTGTCCCTCTCTTTTAGGTAGACCCAGCAAATGACAGAAATGCAATTGGTGTTCAATCAGAGAATAGTTCTGGGGTGAGAAAAGTTAAAAATGGTCTATTCCCAAGAGCCTGCTGGAAAAAAATCTACTGAAGGGCAGGCCCTGTTACAGAGGAAGCAGCCTTTAGCTACTCTCCACCAGAGAAAGTTAGACACGCGTGTAGTGGGGTACCTCCTGATGGGTGATGGGCTACACCTCAGTAAACAGGACAAACAGACATGGGTGGTATCAACACACCTGTGCTTGGTAACACTGGTGAAAAAGCCCTGCAAACTGATACTTGTCTGTATCTGATACTGTCAGTATCTTTGAGTTACACCTGTAACTCAAAGCCCGGATCTGGATTAGGGCTTGAAGATTCAGAACAAAACCACTGTCCAGGTTCCTTTAGTAAATAGTAAACTGTAAATTAATCCATGCATTATTCAAGATAATTTATGAGTGAGAATTCAGTATGAAAAAAGTCCTTATAGGGAATATTGAAAGAAGAGTATTTTCCTTCCTTACCTACCTTTCTTCAGGTGAGATTTTGCAGTGGCATGGAGGAACTTTCTGATTGTCTAGTAGTGGGTTTACATAATAAAAAATATTATGAAGAATGCTCTGTTTGGAGCTACCTGGGCCTAGAGTCCTCACCCGTCACTGCCTCACTTGCCTTGCATGCTAGGCTGTTTCTAAAGGGCTCCCAGGGCAGGGATGTTTCTCAGGGTCATCAAATGCTTAGCTGAAACAATTGAATATAAGGAGACAATGTGAGAATCTTCCAAGTGCATGAGTTGGGTGTTCTATTTCTGTGAAGAAGCTGTCAAAATTGAAGCCTGTCTTACGTTACATTAAGAGGTATTTCCTGCCCAGCAGAGTTCTTGCTGTATTTATTTCAGTGCCCTAAGTCAGCAGTGCTTTCTCCCAGGTCGCTGTGTGGAAGGCACAGCAGGGGCTGTGCGAGCGTTCGGGAGGCCTGGCGCAGCCGGTGCCGCTCTCCTGCAACCCGGGAACGTGCCAGCCGCGTGTGGGAGCCCCGGGACGGGCACCGCGCTGTGAGGGCAACAGCAGAGGTGGCAAAAACGGAAACAGAAGGGTTGGCTTGCAATTTCTGCTTTCAGTAGTGGTCTAGTGATCTGACAAAGCGGCTGCAGGGAGCAAAGGGATGGACTTTTTTCCAGTTCCTTTGCAGATACGGATCAAGAGAAATTGCCCTGAAGTTAATAGAACTGGACAGACCATATTTTCAGGATCTCATCTTGTAGTGCTGATACCGTCAAAGCATCCACTGACTTTTATTTTTCAAAAGTTTACTTGACCTTTACTTTTGGACGGAGTTTTTCCTTGTTCACTGAGAGTTGGGCCTCAGCTGGCACAGCTCCCTCTGATCAGATCAAAAGATCTTGAAAAACCACCAGCTTGCTTCTGTCCCCTCCATCTCCACACTGGTTTTCCATGCGAGCAGATTTAAATACTTTAGGTTTGGACATACAAGCCCCTGGTACATGTATAAGCACTTCTCTTGATGTCGTCTCCTTCTGAGAATATGGTCCATATTTCCTTCTGTCCTCAGAGATTTTTTGGGGTTCTCCAAAGGTCCGGGCATGCATTAGCACAAGATTCTTTTGTTCTCGTGGGTCATGAAGAATTAGGAAGTCTGAATTTACAAGGGGAAACCCAGAGCAGATGCAGAGTCACACAAGGTCTGTTTTAAAAGAGCTAGCCTATACATTTCTGCATCTTTGATGCGATTTATTAGACAGGCATACAGTGTGTTTTCTGTCTAATCCTGCCTGACCATCCCTGGCTGTGCTCTGGGGGAAGCCTGCCTGCTCCTCCAGTAAAGAAATGAAGGCGCAGCGGGAGGACTTGCTGCTGCTCTGGCTTTGTTCCCACAGGAACAAGCTGTTCAACACCACGGACTGAAGCCCGACATCAAGCCAGGCCACAAAGCTGGTGAGCTGGAGCCGCCGTCCCCTCTGCTCTGCTGCCTCGTCTGCCGGCTGTGTCTTGCCCTGCAGGTAAGAGCTCCGGGTCAGGGCCCATATCACTGTCCTGTGCAGGTGAAACACCAAGCACAGCGACTCTGATTTCTGATCAGAGGACTGACATATAAATGTAATGAGTAAATTAGTAGTACTAGCAATGAATAAATAGCAGATCCAGCTACACAAAGCAACTCGCAGTTTGGACCTCAGAGTGTTTCTGTCCTGATGAGTTCTTCCCTTTTCATGTGCTTTGTTTTTAGTAATGAAATGTGTTCATCTTGCTTGCGTTCTTTGTACTAGAGTGAAATGTTATGTCAGTCAGTGCCGTGTCTGTTATCGCTTTATGAAATCAACACTAATGTGCACGAGCTGAAGAATGGGCCTGGGGGAATATGATACACCAATCCTGCAAAACATGCGAGATGCTTTTCCCCTGCTCTTAATCACAATTGTTCCTTTGGCCATTGGCTTATTTAAGATCTCTATGTGTCCATTGTGCGATTGAAGTTTTACAAATATTTATCGGGAGATTACAGCAAAAGATTTTCAAAAGTACAAATTCTGCCATGAGAAAAATTTTTTTGAAGTTTCTGGAGGGAGATGGGGGACTTTTTTTCTCAAAAGCAATTAAACAGTTGGTCTCTATCGCACAAACTTGTTTTATCAGCTGCTTGAAATGTGTTTTAAACAATACTCATGTAAATGGACAGCTTGCTATTTCCAGTCTCTATCCCTAGATGTCACTGGAAGACAGGACATGCTGAAAATAGTGACACTGAAGCCAGAAAAATAAAAAAAATAAATAAAGCTTAGATGGAGGAATGCAGAGGGGAAAATTGAGTAAAATTCTTGAGTGGTTGTCGGCATAACCCGTGTGAAACTGTACCCCAAATTTCCTCTGCCTGAGAGGGAGAGGATCTGAAATCTGTCCTTGGATGCACCCCTTCCCTACGGCGGGTGCGCGTCCTCAGCAACTCGGAGCTCGGCGCATGCTTGCCGCGGAGCCCTGCGCGAGAGGTGTGAGGAGGAGAGTCCCAGAGCACCACTTCAGAGAGAAGAAAGCAAGCTGCTGGGAGGGGCAGGAGACGACAGCTATGGCTTCATAACAGGCAGAAGTCAGCTCGTGGCAAGGTGCCACAGAAAGAGGCAGACCTGCCTTTGTGCATCTCTGCAGTTTCCACCAGCTAGTGCTGTCCCTCCTCTGACAGCCAGCCAGTTCTGGGAGGTGAATTGGCAGGAAATTATTTGCTTTTGGGGATGAAGGAATCACTTCTTGCCCGCTTAGTTCTCTGCGGGCTCAGAGAAGGGATGGTGTTGGGTCTGCTGGAACGAGGTGGAGGAGAGGAGCTCAGTGCACGTGTGCGTGGAGGCAGTGGGAGTGACGGCACGCCAGACCCAGCGGCCTGCGGGAAAGAGTTGTAAGGAACCAGTGTTGAAAAAGCCATTCAACACCATGGCAGAAGTCAGGGGAGGCACCTTTAGGGATCAACCGTTTGTACAGAAGATGGTCCTCTCCAGTGCCACCCGGGGCTGGCTGGGCCTATAAGGGTGTTTGAGTGGGTCTGGGTACAGACAATGCTTGGGGACCAGTTCCTCTGGTCCTCAAACACTCACAACACTTTGGCTTTCTGTCAGTATTTTGTTCATGAAAGGAGGCTGAAACCAGTTTTTAACATCTATAGGATCAAAACTATAACCAGCTTTTATTGAAACTGTTATAAAAGAGAAAAATGCTCTGATTTGGTGAGTAAGTGTTGGAAAGTACTCCTAGGACTTTTGCTAAGAAAGGATAAAAGTTGTCGCCAAGTGATCTTTCAGCAAGCTAGTTCTTTCCTGAGCTGAAATTATACAAAGCATAATTTCTAATTCAGTACTCAATTCAAATGCTGTTGTGAGTCAGTAGCAGTCTTTCTCTTGACCTTAGCAGGATTCAGGGGAATAAAGCAAGCTTTGTAAAACTGAAACCTTCTTTTTGTGTATTAACCTTTATGTTTTGGTTTTTTTCTTTTTCCCTCCAGAGTGAAGCATCAGCTACAGTACAATGATTTATGAGATTACACGATTAGAAAGTACACTGTGTCCGCAAGATCAGAGCTTCTGAAATTCTGGAGCCATTTATATCCAATGGGTGGATGACTTGCATCAAGGGAGTCCCTAGTTCATGGGCATGTGATTGCAATCAATGCCATGTTATGCCAAGATACAGCTGTGGAGAAATGTCTTGGTAATTTAAAGCATGTTTTCCTAAAATAATGTATGTAGTTGTTGGTGTCAGTGTTTGATGTTCTTAGAGCCTGTGGTGGGATGCACCAT